TTTTTAAATTATAATCTTTAGAATTAAATTCATATTTTTCTTTTATATCGTATAATTCTACGTAATGTTTTTTTTAATAACAAAATTACCTTTATAAAAACATTGAAGTTTATTTTAGTAATTTATTACATAGGTACTCGTTTTTACTATTGTTCTATAAATATTGTATAATTTTAATATTAAAAAGTTAAGACTCCAGATTTATAAATATCGTATAAAACGTAATTTATTGCGTTGTAACATTTATAAGTTATGTAAGTATAAGTATTATGATTTTGAAATATTATATTGTATGCATGTTTAATATAAACATGGATAAGTTTTCAAATAGATTATATTTATGTGTTCTCAATATACCTTCATTATTCTTGAACCGAAAATCGTTTTATACCCTTTTTATTTTCCTAGAACATTTTTATGATATTAGTAAGGTGTCTGCGTACAGTAATTTTATTTCTTCTTTATACAAAATCGATTTTAATATTTGTAGGAAAAATAACGAATTCCAGATTATTATTATGGTTCAGAGGACAATTTCGTGATAATAATTCTTCGCTGTATACGAAAATGATAACTTACACTTGAATTTGTCATGGCTCAGGCCATCTATTCTTCGTTTTTGCAACTTTTTCGGCGACTCGCACCGAGCGGCGGACGTTTCTATTGGATTTTTATGCAAATACTCTGATAACCAACGCAAGTTGCAGTCGCAGCTAAATGGATTTCTGCCCAAATGCCTGAAATAAATAAATAATAAACAATCAAATCTCATACAATTTTATTTTTCACTTTATTTATTTGAAGGGATAATAATTCTTGTATATCTTTTTGGCTAATGGCCCCCTTGAAGTATGATTGTTTTGATGGCTATTAAGACAAATAGTGCAAAGTAAACAATACTAAACAATGGCGATGGTGGGCTGTGTCTAGAAATAATAATGGAAGACACATCTGGTAGAATTCACGATGTTTTTATTTATAACTATAAAGAAAAAGACATTTTTCAAGAAGTTTTCTTACACAAAGTTTTTCAATGCTAATAATATACCACAACTAAATAATATGTATTCATTCCGACCGCATTTCGTTATGAACAGGAAACGGGCTGACGGGAAAAAAAATATCCGGTGGAGAGAATAATCTCCTATGGATATATACAATCAAGGAATCCATATTATATACACTCTACACGAGATTTTGTCTAAAGTTCATATAATATTGAATATTGTGGACGGTTTTCGTCTTGCGAATATTATTACGCCGCATAAGATATATATATATATGTATATATGGAAATGCGGGGTCGGCCATTTTTGAATTAATTTTGTTTTAAGCTAGTCGTTTATTTTGAGTTTCCGAGCGAGAAAAGCCAAAATAAATTTGATCGCATAAATTTGGATCAAGGCCGCGAAATGTCAACTGTTAATTTTTTCCACGGTGCCGAGAGAGATTAGCATAAGACTGCTTCATAAAAATAACAACCCGAGGTATTTTGATTGTTACTTTTTACAGTATCGGGGACGAGAGTCTTAGATGTCCTCGCTGCAGAGTGCGTTTTTTATTTTTATTTCGGTAGGTCTAGAGTTTTAACATTAATTAATTTAATGAAAATCAAATTTATTCGTGAAAGCTTTTTGTGTACGTACCTGTAAAGAACGATGCATTTTAAAGCTTGGTACACGAATAATATTTTTTGCGTCGTCGTTTAGAATTCAGAAATATTTGATCATTTCTTTTTGTTTTTTTTTTTTAACGAAGATGGATGTTTTAAAATGTTAGTTGGATTACTGCGGATATGTCTTGGCAGTAGATATTAATATTTTCAAATAAAGGTGAATTTCAATTATTTTAGGTATTATATTAAACATGACAGCATATTACTGAGAATACATTTTGTATAAAGAGTGATATACTTTATAACTGGTATTACTTATTTATGTGTATATTTCGAATGAAATATTGATATTTAAAACGGAAGGAATGCATTTGACGCAAGTTATTAGAAATGATAATGCGAATTCGGGAATCTTGTCTTTATTAATTATTACACTTTGAAGTTTATTAAATGTAAATTATTTACAGACGGCTGTAAGTGGCATTATTGTGTGCAATAGTGCACGGGGAAGGTAAACCGATAATTGAATTGGAATAACGACTAATTTAACATAAACAAAGTATAAATATTTACTATACTTACAGAGTTTGGATACTCCTCATGTAGTCGAACGTTCCATTTGCCAAAGACTTTATGTTGTTATCGTACAGTGAGCTGTTAACAATTTTCGATGTTTCATTAGTAAATAATAATGTTATTCATCTGTAGATTTTGTAACGAAAAAAAGCGATTTTCAGTACCTACCTACGTGTACCGAATTCACAACTACACCCAATGATAATATTAATATCAGTATTACAGAGTGGTTGTCAGTGTTCACCCCCATTTTTTTCTTTGATAATAAATGTACTCTAATTCTGACTTCTGGAATTTTTAAGTATACCTACTATATTGTCTACTAAATACTTATAGACCATATTTTCAAGGTTCTAAGATTTGTTGTACGATACTTAAAATGGGTCGCCCGTGAAGATAAAAACTTTTGTACTTCAAATGAGAACCCCTTTTCTATTGTAAAATATTTACTATTTAGTGAATAATTTTTGGGAAATATTTATTTACCTATCTTTAAATTTGAAAGAGTTTCTAAAACATGTATACAACCTTAGGATAATAGTCTTTAAAAATGGTTAAAAAAAAAATTGATGCAATAGTGGATTAAATATCTAGTATTTATTCTACTTGGGCTATTTTCACAAATACTAAATGTTGATCGATTAATATTAATCACCAAAATTCTCAGGTCATCATATCCATGATGACAATGGGCCACCCATGGTGTCCCAATTAACCTTAATATGCATGAAGTAAAATAACTCAAAAACTAAGTACTCGATGTTTGATTATGATATCAACATTTTCTGGAAAATGATTCACTTAACAATTTACTGTAAAAAAGAGGTTTCTCATTTGGAAAAAAACAGAAGTCTTTACATCTCCAAGAAGTATAAGAAATCTCAAAAATGTGAAAACATGGTCTTCAAGGAAGAATATTGTACAAATTCCAAAAATTGGATTTTCAATAAATGTATTATCAAAGAAAAAGCGGGCGAACGTGCTTAGCGAATCACCCTGTGCGTATTTTTTTCTTTAAAATACACTTGTTATAGGTACCTATAAATTGTAGGATGGCGTCCACGGGCTTATTTTAATTTAAAACAAGTGTCGGATTTAAACGAGGACATATTGAATATCGAATGATGAGACGGGCGAAGAGAAAGAGCGAAAACGCAAGGAAATATTCATGAATATTCAAACATTGCTCGGGAAATCCGAAAGCGATTGTTTTCACAGGTAATCCGAGCCCATATACGCACATTTTATATATACAGGTATACGTGTAGCCCTGTGTGTATCTTTACATTTCAATTTTATTCAATCTGGGTCCGCCGTATACCTGACTCGGTTTCTTTTTTTCATTACACACAACTCCGTAAAGGGAGGAAAAAAAAAAATTAATAAACAAAACCGTCTACAGTTTTTACTCACAGCAAATTGACGCTGTGTAAATCTCTGAAAGCGTCTCTTCGTATACACGATATTTCGTTTGCGTTCAAAAGCCTTGAGAAAAACAAAATAAAAACACGAACGTATAATAAATAATATTATAGTTTTTGGATTATGAGTTGTATCATTATTTTTTCTTCTCATTTTTACACTTACAACAGTTGCAACGAAGTGAGACCATGGAACACGCCACCGGGCAAGTCTTTTATTTTGTTGCCGTACAGCATTCTGCAAAACAAAAAAAAACAAAAATAGAAAAAAACATAATAAATTCAATTTTTGCGAATTATTGGGTCGCCTCGTCCTGATAAAATTACGGGCGTATTTCTCGTTCGCACAAATTTTATGGCTAAAAATTCGATTTCAGGACAATAAAAATAATATATAAAGGTACTGCGGTTCACGGAATATCGGGGCCGGCGTGTATAGAGTATAATACAGCTTATATACTGCCGAGTATAAAAATATAAAGGTTTGAAAAGTTATAGCTTGCAGGGAAGTTGTAAAGTATCCGTTTTTCCTTTTATTTTTTTTTTTTTATACATGTCGAATTCGGTTAATATCTTCAATACAACTATATGATATTATTATCGGGAGCATATATTTATATATATATTAGTGTCACGTATATATCGGAAAACCGGTACAATAATATGTGTAATACGCGCGTATATATATTATTCTATATTTATATTCAAATTGCAAACGTTATTATATTGTCAATATATAGATACTGCAACACTCGCCTACAACAGGTGGATTATCCGTTTATACATTTGACGGTTTTCGGAATATAATTATTAGAATTTTCGTCGCGAATAGTGGAAAACGTTTACACGGGGCAGCAGTGGTGCGGAAAACAAAATTATTATGACGTTTTTAGCCATTTATGCGAGTGCTAGATGTGATAAACGTTTACATTTTTTTCGTTAACCAACGAGTAAATAAATAAGTCTGCAGATAAAAGCCTAAGGCAAACTTACACGCCGCCTGTTATTGTCATTGATAATGGCTTTTAGCGAATTTACGACCGCCTAAACAAGAGCGCACCGACCCTTTGGCGTACATAAAAAAGCTCGTGGCACATTTGGAAACCATTCAAAATGTTTTTTTTTTTTTTTTTTGAAATCCCCATTTGCACCGGGAAAAATAACTTTAGGCGTGTATCGATATACAGAACAAAAAAGGTAATAAAACGGACTGCGTATTTTTTTTTTTCAGAAAAATTGCGGATGATTTTTTTCGCAACCAACAATTACGCTGGCGATAGGTCGAAAGCAAAACCAGTTATAGACCCACGTATGATATATATGTACATGATGCCTTATGCACGCTATAATACTCCCATCGCGAATGACTAGTGTGTAACTGAAAAAAACCTTTAACATCACTAAAAGACATTTTCTTGGGAGCCAAATCGTAAAATTATTTTACGATCTACGCGAGGAGAAAAAAGTGTTTCAAACAGTTAATCATATGCATAACAGTGTGTATACTTACAGAGATGTTAACGACTTCAGACCCTGGAAGGCGTCCACCGATATTTTTGTTATCTGGTTTTTGCTGAGGTCACTGTAAATACATATTAATGTGTTATTAATAAGTAAAGTAAATAGTTACCTATCTGTTTAATTGAAATGAAAAAAAAAA